TTTTTGGTATAGCAGTCTTTTTCTACAAGTATTACATCTCATAGTATTTGTGCACTTTATGCTGTTTTTGTACCATTGGTACTTTTGTACTTGGCACTTGCACTTTTACTTGTATGATTTTAGCTGCCATCCATAGGGGTTCTTGATTTTGATTATTATTGTTTTTATTACTGTTATTTTGTGCATGTTGCACTTTTGGCTATTATTGTTTCAATAAAGTGGACCCTTTACTTCCACAGTATACTCTGCATTTATGGGATTATTCTATACCATATTGATATTTATCTTAGTGGTTGTGGCGCCCTGTAGTCTGCACTAGTGTTCAGACTTTGTGTTTATTCTAGTGGCTGTCTCACTGACAGCCGCTAGAGTAGCTTCCACGATTCTCACTGTGAAAATCACAGTGAGAAGACGCTGGACGTCCATAGGAAAGCATTGAGTAATGCTTTCCAATGGGCGGTTTGAATGCACGTGCGGCTCTTGCCACGCATGCGCATTCAGAGCTGAGAGGCGGATTGGTGTGGAGGGATCCCCAGTGCCAAGGGAGTCCAGCGCTGGAGAAAGGTAAGTGCTGAAGGGGTTTTAAACACACAAACACTCTCAAAAACAGACTCATACACACTAGCTAACAGACACACACATTTACTGACAGAGACACACTCAGTGACAGACATACACTCTCACTTACAAAACATACACTCTCACTGACAAACACACACTCACCAACAGACACCAAACAGACTCACTAACAGACACAGGGCCGGACTGGCCTACCGGGATACCGGGAAATTTCCCGGTAGGCCGCCAGCCCTGGGGCCGCTTTGACATGTGGCTGCACTCAGCCACAAGACACGAAAAAAAAAAAAATTATTTTCCCCTATGCGGCCGGCCACAGCCACATCTGCGCCGGCCGCTGCTGCTTCCTGTGCGAGCGCACAGATATTTGTCAGCCTGTCAGCCGCCGGATGTGAGCGGCAAATGACGACATGACGTCACATCCGGCGGCTGCGCGGCGGAGGCTCTACACAGATTAGATCGCGGCCTCTCTTCCCTCCTGCAACATTGAGCTGTTGGAAAGGTAAGAATAAAGGGGCTTGGGGGGATCTATTGTATTGGGGGAGGGCCGCAATGTATTGGTGAGGGGAGGGGGGCTGCAATGTATTGGGGAGGGGAGGGAGGGGGGTCAAATGTATTGGGGAGGGGAGGAGAGGGGGGGGGTCAGTAAATGCACTGGGGAGGGGAGGAGAGGGGGGGGGTCAGTGTAAATGGATTGGGGAGGGAGGGAGAAGGGGGCTGCAATGCATTGGGGAGGGGAGGAGAGGGGGGTCAGTAATGTATTGGGAGAGGGGGAGGAGAGGGGGGGTCAGTGTAATGTATTAGGGGGGCCAAATGCATTGGGGAGTGGGGGTCAGTAAATGTATTGGGGAGGGGGAGGGGGCTGCAATGTATTGGGGAGGGGAGGGGGGTCAGCAGTATATTAGGGGAGGGGGTTACAGCAGTATATTAGGTGGAGGGGGTTACAGCAGTGTATTAGATAGGGGGAGCGGAGGCCAGTGTGTGTGTGTGTGTGACTGTGTGTGTGTGACTGTGTCTGTGTGTCTGTGTGTGCCTGTGTGTGTGTGTGACTGCCTGTGTGTGTGTGTGACTGCCTGTGTGGCTGTCTGCCTGTGTGTGTGAGTGTGTGGCTGTCTGCCTGTGTTTGTGGTTGTCTGCCTGTCTGTGTGTGTGTGGATGTTTTCCTCGTTGTCAGTGACTGTCTGCCTCTGTGTGTGTGTGTGTGTGCGCGCATCTGCTAGTGAGGGAGCCTCTGTGTGTGTGTGCACCTGCTAGTGAGTTTGTGTGTGTGTGCCTGCTAGTGAGTGAGCTTGTATGTGTGTCAGTGAGCTTGTCTGTAGGGATAATATGTGTGTGTGTGTGTGAGTGAGCTTGTCTGTAAGGAGCATGGGTGTGTCGGAGCCTGTCTGTGGTGAGCATGTGTGTACAGTGAGCTTGTCTGTAGTAAGCATGAGTGTGACCGTGAGCTTGTCTGTAGTGACCATATGTGTGTCAGTGAGCTTGTCTGTAGTGAGCATGTCTGTAGTGAATCTGTGTGTTAATGAGCTCTTCTGTAGGGAGCATGTGTGTGTCAATGGGCTTGTCTGTAGGGAGAGTGTGTGCGCATCAGTGAGCTTGTCTGTAGTGAGCGTGTGTGTGTGACAGTGAGCTTGTCTGTAGTAAGCTTGTGTGTGTATCAGAGTTTGTCTGTACTAAATTTGTGTGTGTGCCAGTAACCTTGTCTGTGTGTGTCATTGAGATTGTCTGTCAATGAGCCTATTTGTGTGCATCAGTAAGATTGTCTGTGTTTGTGTGTGAGTATGCGTTACTATATAATTTAATTACCCTAAAAGAACTAATATTTTGAAGAAGAAGAAGAAATGTATCAATAAAAAAATAAATTATATATATATATATATATATATACTGTTGCATCACCAGGGCTCCAGTATCCAGTATATATATAGGCAATTGAAATAGTTGGCTGCACGCTTGGATTTCCTTAAAATGTAACTTTTATTGAAATATTTAAGAGAAGATCAACGTTTCAGTCCCTCTTGTGGACTTGCATCAGGATCATGACGAAAGTTCACAAGAGGGACTGAAACAGTGATCTTCTCTTAAATATTTCAATAAAAGTTACATTTTAAGGAAATCCAAGAGTGCAGCCAACTATTTCAATTGTGTGTGTGTGTGTATATATATATATATATATATATATATATATATATATATATATCACCCTACACAGCACAATGAATTATGGGGCTGGCATAGATTTTTTTCCAGGGCTGCTTCGTATCCCCAGTCCGGCCCTGAACAGACACACACAAACTAACACATTCAGTAACAGACACACACAGTAACACACTCACTGACACACACACACTCACTGACACACAAACTAATACACACACTGACACTCCGTAGCAGACACACACTCAATAACAGACACACACAAACTAACACACACACAAAAACTAACACACTCACTAGCAGACACACACACTGACACACAAAAACTAACACTAACGCACATACTCTAACACTAACACACATTCACATTTTTTTTTTTTATTTAATCCCCCAGCCTTCCTACCTTTGGGAGTGCTAAAGGGAAACCCGGGGGCCAGTGTGGCTGCTGGGCGACCGGTCCTGCAGGCGGCGAGGGAGCACTGATCTTCCTCCCTTGCGCACCGCGTACTAATGCCAGAGCCGAAATGACATCATATTTCGGCTCTGGCATCACTGCGGTGCGCGAGGGAGCTGGGCAGAGAACGCTTAGGGGAGAATGCTCCCTTGCGCGCTGCGTACTAATGCCGGAGCCGAAATGACATCATATTCCGGCACCGTCATCACTGCGGTGCGCGAGGGAGCTGGGCAGAGAGCGCTCAGGGGAGAATGCTCCCTGACGCGCCCGCCAGCCCGGTACCACCAGGGCAAGCCTCGGCCCCCCAGGAGAAGAGGCTGGCAAACTGGCGTACATCCCGGTTTGCGTACACACCGGGCAGCTGCGACCGTGGTATGTACGCCAGTGGCCGTGCATTATCATGCTGCAACATGAGGTGATGGCACAACAATGGGCCTCAGGATCTCATCACAGTATCCCTGTGCATTCAATGCCATCAATAAAATGCACCTGTGTTTGTTGTCCATAACATACGCCTGACCATACAATAACCCCACCGCCACCATGGGCCATGCGATCTACAACGTTGACATCAGCAAACTGCTCACCCACACGATGCCATACACTCTGTCTGCCATCTGCCCTGTACAGTGAAAACCAGGATTCCTCCGTGAAGAGAACACCTCTCCAAAGTGCCAGACACCATCGAATGTGAGCATTTGCCCACTCAAGTCAGTTACAACGACGAACTGCAGTCAGGTGGAGACCCTGATGAGGAAGACGAGCATGCTAGTGATTTAATAACATGGACTGGTATGTCCTGACTGGAGGCTGAACGAGTGTCCGGAATATTTACTAGGATTTAAACCCAGACTTGTTAGTAACACTCGTACGTACAACATGAACTTTGATGTAAATAGGACTGCCCCGTGAAGGGACAGCAAAGGTGTGTCTGATGGTGTAGGTAGGATGAGGAGATAAACCTCCAAAACCTTCACTGGGCAACATCTGTTTTGCGTAGGGTAATATGTGATCTGAACCGGTTGTCCCAGCTGACTAGTCTTGGTACCGGGTAGTGACAGTACTAAATGATCGTGGTGTCTAGCCAAGTAGGAGCATTTGAGGCATTCATGGGAGTGATCTTTGCTATGGATGGTAAATTTGCATGGTCTAACCCAAAAAAAGGCCAGGTAGATTGTAGCTTTAATGACCGTATTGGTGATAGGTTCAAAAAGGGTTGCATCTAGCAAGTCCGAAATGGCCTTGAACAGCTGTTTATCAATGGGTAACCTTTGATGCGGAGTATGACCACTGGCTTTGTGTATGCTTTTAAGTATTGTCTTGATTGGAAAAAAAGAAAGAAAACCGGTGTTGTCTGGGAAATATAAATACATATGGTGTTGAATACCCGTTAAATATAGCTTGATAGTATTATGGGACAGCTGCAGCTTAAGGTGGCAAAAAGCAGCGAATATTACCAATGATGTAATGTCAAACATAATATGAATTGTATGTTCAGCCATGAATTTCTTATACAAAGAGAAAGCCCTATCATATGCTTGACGGGTATTGGTTGAAAGGGCTAAGATGGTCAGGACTCTACTAT